AAGCTCACTGTTGTCAACTACAAGGGTTCACTGATGAATGTGCCTGCTTTTCTTTACCATCTATCTCACTGAAAGAGAGAAGGATCAAAGAACGAAAGATCAGCATCAGCGTGACCAATCTGCCAGGCGAAGTGCCAACTCTGGTGGGGTTCAAGCAGCTCAACCTCGAGCAGCTGGTGATGGCTATGGCGCTGCGGGCATTCCTAGCGGAGTTGAGCGGGTGAGCGCTGCTGCTTCTTCAAGGCCGGCTGGGCCTGCGGCTGGATCTGCAGCTGGGCGTGCGGCGGCTGATGGCGCTGGCAGAGGCGCTGAGCAGAATTGGCCGGCTGCTGGCTTGAGGTCAAGACAATCTCAGTCCCAAAGAGGACCCAAGCCCCTGTACACCACACCTTTTGGGGGGAAGTATCATTGCGACCGTGAATGTCACGGCCTTAGACATGCTAGTCAAATTTGTCTGACACCCAGATGCCACAGATGTGGCCCACAGTCAGACACACCACAATACGTGCTGTTTGCAATCTCACATGGATATGCGTTGCATGTTGACTATGAGCATTGTCGTGATGCTGGATCGAATGGCCCCATCAGAGTCTTCAATCCATGTGGGATTTGCTTCACTGTAAAAGAAAAGACAGGATTGTAGAAAGGGCTTGAGCTGGATATGTGACCAGCACGACAGGTCACATAGGGGGAGTGCGTATGATTACAAAGCCACGCACCCCTATCAATCTAATTGTTCACATGGAAATTCAATGACATTTTGCATACATCAATCCTGAAATGGATTCGAATGAAACTTGCATCCGGGCCGAACCGAAGCCCTTTTGATGAGAAGCTGGACAAAGGTGCAGCAGAAGGCAGCTGGACGTGGTTGCCTAGCGTGTTGGGCTTTTTCCGGTTGGTTAGGGGCAGAAACACAATTTTCCTTGGTTTTGAGCTCAGCATTGTTCAAGGTTCCAGGACGGTTCACTTGTTGACATTTGGGCATTTGAAGAAACGTAATTACTGAAACTGTTACTATTACTATTACTAATACTAATACTACTACTATTACATACCATTGCTACATGTACTCAGACTCTTATCATTTCTATTATGATTATTGCGATTCACTGTTATTATTGCTATTACCACCATTGTTATCATTATCATTACTCTTCTTATTCTTAGTATTCACAAATATGTCAATGAACAATCCCTAGATGAGCATGTGGAACGTCTACCCGCTCGGACCTGGACAAATCCGACAAGCAATTTGACTCCTCCAAAATGGGGGCTGGCTTGGCACCGGGCCGAGCCGATGCCGACTGAGCCCAAATTGCCAGGATTTGAAAAAATTGAAACATCAACTAGTCATGAGTCAGAACTAACAACCCTTAAGTCGTCAGAGAAAGGCTGGTCAACTCGGATCAGAGGCCTGGGATGGCCTGGGACTGGAATTTCAACTATGACGACTCTAATGGGACTGGAATGGTCAGTGCTTGCTTCGCAGGCAGTAGGACCCCCTACTGAACCTGCCGGGATCCGACCAAATCATCTACCTCACAGGAACGCCATGCCGCTGCTCCCACTCCACCACTTTTCCCTGCTGGTGGCAGCTGTGTTCTGTACCTCTGCTCTTGGAGTAACCAGAAATTCTGGGGGACAAGGAGGCGCACAATGCTACCACAAACATCGCTTCTCTGCATTGCAACCCCTCGAAGAACAACTGCACATCGAATCTGATTCCGTTGCTGAAAAGAAAGCAAGAAGATTGAGTAAATCCCAACAGTTTCTCACAGGTGAGATGCTAGTCTAATCTTGACTCCTGCAAGCATGCCTTCTGCATGCCTTCTCGTTCCCTCTTTTCCGCAACGACTTGCTCAGAGTTCACCCTTGACGGCCACATTGTGAAGGCTCGTCCACGGCACGTTGTGTTTACTCACTTCTGATGGTCACCATACGAGCACGTGCCTACAAACAGGGAAATCAGAGTCAGAGGGCAAATAATGTTTTATCAGCCACAGCCATTGTCATTGTCATCATCTCAACTTCATACCCTCTGGTAATCAAACATGGCTTTGCTGGAATCAAACATGGCTTTGCTGGAATCAAACATGGCTTTGCTGGAAAACGCACCAATTAGTTCGACGCTTTTCCTAGCGACAAAACCTTCATTTAGTTCGGGATTTCCCACCAACCAGCCGTGTTTGATGACTCCGAAGGGTGTTCATCAGACATCATCCATCGAGGAAATCACCATCCTTGCCTCGCGCCGCGAATTGACCCGCATCCAGAACTCTTCGTCTTCGGCCTGCGCAGTGGCCCAAAGGTCGCCCCGAAAGATCACAAGAAACATCCGATTCGCCGAAAGTGCCAATGGTGCTGCAAGACTCAGCAGAAAATGTGGGCTTGGCATTTTGACACCAAGATTCTTTCATGAGTTGACCAAGGGATAATCAATGGGCTTATCTGACTCTGCAAAGGCTCAAGCCCCGCCTTGGCCCCAGCTTCGCGCTGACCCTCTCGCACTGAGGTCACCTCGCTATACCACCGAGCAGAAGGTTTACTGCGAAAGTCCCCAAGGAATCCATGGTTTCTGATGGTCCAGAGTTCATTCAAGCCCCTCCTTCTAATCCATCCCAATCCCACCATTTTCCGCTGAAGTTCCCCGCGTTGTAAAAGCCAGTCTTGCACATGACATACTCCAAGCCGGCACCTTTCAGCGCCAAATTCACCAGGCGTTCACTGGTACAGAAATGATGAACTGTTTCAAACAAGCATCCATCCATTGCCACTTCCCGCCATCGACAAACCTCCTACAGTGTAAAAAGGGAACTAGTTGTGTACAGGTACTATGTCCTGAGAATATGGTCAAGTCATGCTTTATCCACAATAGTGGAATGGATTACTGGAAATGACCAGCAAATCAGCCAAATCTGTCCAAATGGTCTGAGGGCCTTACACTTTGAGCCCAATAAGGTAAATCATCTACCACTCAGTGATTTTCCACATTGAATATGCCTGGTATGATGCTTGGTATGGGTCAGTTCACCCTGCTACTGCTATCATTGTGAACTCACACCAAAATTGAGCTCGCTTTTGTGCTGGATGTCCATGTCCCCATCTGCCCGTTGTCTTTTCTTGGCATGATATCCACATGATCATTCAACACATGGGCCAGTTCATTCAAAATGGAGATGATCAATCCATCAACCATGGGAAAAATGGAGGTTTTCCCCATAATTCTCAAACAAGACACATTGTCATTGTGGAATCCCAGCCCCTGGGCCTAGGCAAAACATCGCGGTGCACAGCAGGGGCAAGCGCCGGTAGATCTGGCGTCGGCAGCAGGGTCCAAGCATGGGGACCTTAAAACCACCAAATACTGATGTGGAAAGCTGATGATGATGACGGACCTATCATTTATCAACCCAATGTCAGCTTTTTTTCACGATTTTCCCCCCAGCGAGAGCCTCGCCAACATACGGGTCCAATTAGTCCAATTCTATATCCTATCCAGAAAGCGTAGACCGTAAATCAGAAATCACAGTGGGATAGTGGGATCACACTGTGGTACTTTGGCACCCGTTTGGCTCCATGTTCTCCCAGCTGGAAAGGTGGGGATGGGCCCAAAACGCACATTTGCCGAGACGCGTTTGGTGACCGCAAAGCCAAATTGCCCTCCATGGAAGGGCCAACAATCTAAGAGCCGTAGGTCAACAGAAGTCAGAGGAAAAGGGTATATTGGGTATATTGGGTATATGTGTATATTATGTGTATTAATGTGGATAGTTGAGGTATCTCCAGGTATCTCGGCATCATTCGGCATCTCTGAACCTTTCATTCTCGAATCTGTCACATTGCCCTGAGCCACGTGGCCCAATGGATGATGTCATGGCAGGCACCGCACCACCGCATCGAAGCCCATCAGTGGATATTCTAGTCACAAAGATCGTCGTAGGCATAAGAACATCATGACTGTGGCAAACCAAATATATCATAAGATATCCAGATATCAATCTCCAAGTCCCTAGGGGTCTCAATTCTTGCCCCTTGGGTGTCTGAAAGTTATCGGTTTGCCAAAATGGACCAGTTTTGTCTGGAGATGGAGATGATGATGGTGGTGATGATGATGGTGGTGATGATGATGATGATCATCATCATCATCATGCTTCATTATTATTGTTATTATATGTTTACTATTATTAGTGATAGTGATGACGATGATGATCATTATTCTTATCATCATTGTGGTGATGATGGTCATGATGGTGACCAATGGTGACCAACGGTGACCAACCAGGTTTTTTTTTGCGCATAGACCGCCAGAATCAGTTGCTGCGACTCACATCTACAGCCGCAGCCTCCTGTTCTGGCGCATGAATGACACGAATGACGTTTGGTGTATGTGAACAACCAAACCACAAAAATGGAGTAGACATGAGTCAAAACTGGAGCACCAGTGGATCCCTTGGTCCTTGTCACCATTTAGTTCCACGAGATGCACATGGGAAATTTCCTTGCGGACCTTGATGTATGTCCAAGTCTGTAAAGAACATAGTGATACCAGGGATAGAAAGGATCCATGGTTCCATGGGACATCCACCTTGGATGCACCTTTGCTGGAAGACAAAGGATTTCCAAATTGGGACGGTGACAATGTGATGGCCCAGACAAAAAGCATCATGTCTTATCCCTGTCATGACCATATGTTTATGGATATACTTATGGCTCGATGGGTACTTAAAGCAAATCACCAATCTCAATAATTAGTTTCTCGACATTGCTTCCTTTCTCTGCCGGAGTCTGCCGCTGTGTGATTTTCGGTGGCGAAGCTGTTCCGCACCCATCGCCGGGTGCGGTTCATCATGAGGGTTCCACCAGGCTTGGAGAATTCGCTGGTGAAGAGGTTTCTGTGGTTTCCGTGAGTCTGAAGCACCTAGAAAAACATGCCCAAAACCAGGGTTTTTCAGGGGTAGACATTGAAATAAACACAAAAATCATGAAAGATCATGAAAGGCAATTCTAAAGAGCAAAAAGCTTCACGAATTCCTCGCGTTTCGCCAGTTGGCACCTCTCAATGATGGCTTTATTGTTCACGACGCATCTACTGTGCAAATCATTCAGCCCTGAGACTTTTCCTGGCAGCAGTGGACAAGCTGAAAAAGTGACTTCCCCAACAAATCAGAAGGGTAGCTTCGAAATTGTGATGCGGATTGGTGAGATCTTTAGTCAAAAAAGGTGCCAAATCATTTTCGGGAAAGCTGAGTCCCAAGTCCTTCATGAGACTCTGCCTGTTGTTTCGAGATGTAGGAACTGGTTTCCAGTTAAGTGAAAAAGCGTCACAGGATGCAATTGTTCAGAGACCATGGTTTCAACACAGTCATTTATTAGGGGCTTATGTCAAAGGGGGTTTTGAGTTTTGACTGACCACTTTTTACATGGGATGCTTCATGCCAAGATCCCCCTTGCGCGGGTGAAAATCCTTCTGCTCTCTGTTGCATCAGTGTGTCAAACAAACAATGAGATGGCAACATCATAATTGCTTCTGCAGTTCCGGACAGTCCACCAAGAGTGACTCCAAGGACAGGGGATGGAACCTGGTAGTAGAATAGTGACATATGCTGATATATGCTGACATATGCTGATATATGCTGACATATGCTGATATATGCTGACATATGCTGATATATGCTGACATGCTGGAACAAATGGAAAGCTGACCTCAGTTCCCCATTCGCTTGTGCACCTCTGCTGCCCATTAGGGTTCAACGGCCTGGTCTGGAAATCCACGGCTTGTGACTATGGCAAAGCACCGTGGTTTGTGGAGGTTACACAATGTGCTACACGAGGACACAGCCAGCAGCTACTCCTTAGATCATCGCTCAATCCAACAACATCACATGTGCTATGGTCAAAATATGGTCTATGGTTATGGTCATCCCACAATCATGAGGAATTCCTTACCATGGGGAGTTAACACCGTTAACACCTATTGTTTATGGGCAAATGAGCATCCCTTTTTTATGGGAAAACAAACCATGCTTTGACCATGGCACACGTGTTGAAAATGGGCTAGACATGGCTACAGGGGCACGCCAACTTAAGCTTGGGACTGCTGTCTCTTGCTTGGCGCCTAAACCTGCTTTGTCCTGCAGGGGCCATCCCGATGGAACAAACATGACAGATTTTGTAAGTGAAAAAGTGACGTTGATCGTGGCCAGTCTTCATAAAAGTGAGAGTTTGAGAAGAAAGCATGACTGTCCAGCAAAGGCAAACGAGTTTTGAAAGATTTTACGTAAAGGCAAGTGGGTCCAAAGAAGGACCCCAACCTGTGGCACGAAACATCCCTTGCAAGCTCACAACACTTACACACGTACACTTGAGAAAGGTAAGGACCTCATCTGACACTTGAGAAAGGGTGGATGAAAGGTGGGGGGGTCATCAGTACTGTAATAGTCTCCTTAAAGTACGCTTCCAGCTCAAGGTTCAGCATGGCCTTGCCCCGACTCTCGTTCACATGCCATTTCCACATCGATACCGGACAGAATGCAATGTGTCGTCCAAAGTAAAGAAACTTGCAAGACCAAAAAAATAATGGACAATAATTTATATATATATATATATACTGATTTGATTGGCAAGTTGGAAAATCATATCCTTAGATGGAAGATGTGGAAGTCCGGTAAGGTTCTTGTCCCAAAACACGAAGGGCCGCGAAGGGCTCATGATGCTTCGCGTCGCCTTGATTGCATCTGGGCCCATGTATTCCTCCAGCTGCTTGTCCAGAAACTCCTTAGTGACCTGACCAGTGAGGCAGGGGCCAGTCAGGGCTTATAACCCACTTATAGGACAACCATGGATAACCCTAAGGGACTTACGACCACCAGGCTTATCAGTGGCTTATCAACCAGTTAAGATAGGTGGGATGATCTAACCCTAGGACTTGCGGACCAGGTTCCTTTTGCAATGTCAACCTACTTCATGGTCATGTGGCAAGGAAATGTCAAGATCAAGACGTCTGCTTGACCACATGAGGATTGCATGGTTTGAATTTCTTCCAGTAGTTTTGCTTCAAGTTTTCCTTCTCTTCAATGCCGTCAAATTAGTTCCGAGGGGGTGGTGTTCATGATCTTCGATGGGAGTTTCAGACTCTGACCAGCAACAGAGTGAGATGAAGCGTGCATATACTGCATACACGCTGCACACACTAGACAAGAATGGATCATTATATGATCCGGCGGGAACTGAATCCTGAAACATGCAGATTAGATATTCAAACGTAATGCCAGATGTAAAATCAATTGTTTGAATGACGGCTTGGTGGTTCTCGGGTTAGCCACATCCCATCATGAAAAACAAAACTGATGCAGGTACGTCTGGCTGATCAGGCCAGATATCACCACCAATTGCAAGCGTCTTCGTTGGCAGTAGACTTGCAATGGTGCTACTGCCCCCTGCATTGTAATTAGAGTTAGAAAGGGAGAGGACAAAGGAAGAAAAAAGAGAGAAGTTTTACATCTATTTAGATGTTACACACACACACACCCGGCCGGAGCCGGGTCAACCCTGAAAGGCAAGAGGAAGAAAAAAGCGGACACACGACGGGCAGACGGCCAAAACAGCGCAGGGGGGGGAAGGGAACAGATGGACCTCCAGAACCAACCTACACGGCGAAACGGACCTGACAAAAACAGCGCACACACCTAAACCCAACAACACGTTACGGAGAGGCACGCGGGGAAAGATTAGGGACCAATGGGGAACTAGTTGATGCCAGACAAAAACCAAAACAATTAATTTAAAAACAGGACCCAGTTCCTAGACCTACTGTTCGTGCGATTGTGCCACAACAGGCCCGTGTTCCAGTCAGCCACAAGGGCATAAAACGGCTTTCAAGTTCCATCGAATTAGGTGCACAACATGTTTCACCTCACCAGACAACCAAAAGGAAAAGACCACACCTGAAAGACGTGGGCCTGCCTGATCCATTTTCATGTAATGTTGCAAAATGTCGCTGTGAAAGTGCTGCAGAATAAGAGGTTTCTGAATGTTCGGCACAACTTCACTCAGTAGAAAAGAATTTCACCAGGATCTCAAGGGACGACAGGAGCCGCGGGACTTCACAAAAAGGTGCAAAACGGAAGGGCCAGCTGTTGCGATTTACTTAGATGAATTACCAAATTAAAATGTGTGAATTCAGAATTCAAGACTGTCGACACTCACCCTGAAGAGGGTTGCCTCAAATGGCTCCATGGCACCATGTCGGAGCCACCATGGAAATCACACTAGACAAGAATGGATCATTATATGATCCGGCAGGAACTGAATCCTGAAACATGCAGATTAGATATTCAAACGTAATGCCAGATGTAAAATAAATTGTTTGAATGACGGCTTGGTGGTTCTCGGGTTAGCCACATCCCATCATGAAAAACAAAACTGATGCAGGTACGTCTGGCTGATCAGGCCAGATATCACCACCAATTGCAAGCGTCTTCGTTGGCAGTAGACTTGCAATGGTGCTACTGCCCCCTGCATTGTAATTAGAGTAGAAAGGGAGAGGACAAAGGAAGAAAAAAGAGAGAAGTTTTACATCTATTTAGATGTTACACACACACACACACCCGGCCGGAGCCGGGTCAACCCTGAAAGGCAAGAGGAAGAAAAAAGCGGACACACGACGGGCAGACGGCCAAAACAGCGCAGGGGGGGGAGGGGAACAGACGGACCTCCAGAACCAACCTACACGGCGAAACGGACCTGACAAAAACAGCGCACACACCTAAACCCAACAACACGTTACGGAGAGGCACGCGGGGAAAGATTAGGGACCAATGGGGAACTAGTTGATGCCAGACAAAAACCAAAACAATTAATTAAAAACAGGACCCAGTTCCTAGACCTACTGTTCGTGCGATTGTGCCACAACAGGCCCGTGTTCCAGTCAGCCACAAGGGCATAAAACGGCTTTCAAGTTCCATCGAATTAGGTGCACAACATGTTTCACCTCACCAGACAACCAAAAGGAAAAGACCACACCTGAAAGACGTGGGCCTGCCTGATCCATTTTCATGTAATGTTGCAAAATGTCGCTGTGAAAGTGCTGCAGAATAAGAGGTTTCTGAATGTTCGGCACAACTTCACTCAGTAGAAAAGAATTTCACCAGGATCTCAAGGGACGACAGGAGCCGCGGGACTTCACAAAAAGGTGCAAAACGGAAGGGCCAGCTGTTGCGATTTACTTAGATGAATTACCAAATTAAAATGTGTGAATTCAGAATTCAAGACTGTCGACACTCACCCTGAAGAGGGTTGCCTCAAATGGCTCCATGGCACCATGTCGGAGCCACCATGGAAATCACACTAGACAAGAATGGATCACTATATGATCCGGCAGGAACTGAATCCTGAAACATGCAGATTAGATATTCAAACGTAATGCCAGATGTAAAAGAAATTGTTTGAATGACGGCTTGGTGGTTCTCGGGTTAGCCACATCCCATCATGAAAAACAAAACTGATGCAGGTACGTCTGGCTGATCAGGCCAGATATCACCACCAATTGCAAGCGTCTTCGTTGGCAGTAGACTTGCAATGGTGCTACTGCCCCCTGCATTGTAATTAGAGTTAGAAAGGGAGAGGACAAAGGAAGAAAAAAGAGAGAAGTTTTACATCTATTTAGATGTTACACACACACTGCTTAGGTTGATTTGATGATGATGAGAGTAGAACTTACCGTCGCCTGATTTCCTAAGTCACCTTCGATGGGGCACGGTTGCAAACGGTGAAATTCGGGCAATCGATTCTTGCCAAAGGACTCAAAAACAAGGTAATAGAACAGCTTGTGCAAAAGTTCGAACCAACATTGCAGGTACGTCAACCCAGCGTCCCAGGTTGATATCACTGTGACATCAGAAGCGTCTTCGTTGGCTGGAGACTTCTGATTCACACTCCAGCCCCCTGCATGTCTGAATTAAAATTCAGTTCTTATTGTCGCCACATATTGTCTTCCTTGCTTCGTTGTACGAAATTGTAAAATATCCGTATGTTATAACGGGTTTCACACACACACACACACACACACGCACGCACGCACGCACGCACACTTCCTTCCAGTTCTAATGTAAGTTTGACCGTCAGGTTTCAAGTTTTTTAATAGACTCCGAAAAAAAAAAATCCTTGGTTTGTGATTGGATATTATTGGCTCATGACACGTAGTTTTTCAGTCATATCCAGCGCCTGAGTTCTCTTGCCTTTGCCTTTGCCCTTTCCACGGCCACGGCCTCCCAAAATGCTGCAGGGGTTGTAGATGATCATATATTATCATTGTATAGTTAAATGATATTAAATGATGATAAATGATATGATGATAATTGAATACGATATTATAATTGCATGTGTGTGTACATATACATATATATATATTATAATAATAATAATAATAATAATAATAATAATATATATATATAATATAATTGTAAGAATAAATGTTCTGTTTTTCCGTGAACACACATGCACACGATGTAACGTGGAATTGCCACTTCACATCCTGCAGAATGGCCGGGAAGCACATCCAGAAACTTGAGCGCCGTTCAGCGTCCATGCAAAATGCCAGCCAGGCAGGCGACCATCTCTAGCACTGAGTTCGTTGAACAGAATCCAGATGGGATGGATTGAGATGGAGTTTGCACAAGTTACCTGATACAAATATCATTGTCATATGTACAGTACATAGTGTCATGATACCCGTAATAATGCTGACATCAAAGGCACATGGTGGTACTCTGGGAATCATGAAAGAAATGTCATAAATGAACGTATAGTAGTCTGATAGTGATTAAGAATCAAAATACTATGAGGAAAATAGGACAACAATAACAAGATCAATATAAATAACCAATATTAACAATATTGATCAACATGACCAATATGAACAAAATTAACAACAATAAGACAATAAACAATTTGAATCAGTTTTCCATCTGTTTGCCCTCCTTTGCCGCTCAGTTGGCGCCTTTCCCTCGGCCTTGGAAGTTAGGAAGAATCCATGACCACAGCAAAATGTTTCAGTGACTGCAATAAAGTCTATGACTCGGATTAAACGAAATCAAACCAAAAGAAAGTAAGATAATCAGAAAAAAAAAAAAAAAACGAGAATCCAACATTTAAATTCCTTTTCCAATGCTCCAAGTAGTGAAAAGCCTAAACACTTCCCTTGGTCGCATAAATCCCAACCAGAACTGGGCCTCCCAGTCCTTTTCCACGACCATAGCCATAGCTTACTCTGCCATAGCCTCTGTAGCCGCTGTAGCCGTAGCCTCTGCCATAGCCTCGAGAATAGAAAATCATGATGTGGCTGTAGATCGTTTCAGCAAGAAAAACATCAGAGAACTCACCAAGAATTGGAAAATTATGACCAAACAATTGTGATGCAACCATTAGAAATGCTGGTCAAGTTGCAACATCGATGGGACTGGGACATGTTCCAAACGCAAAAGAATGCAGTTGGTGTGTTCATCCTTCTGGTTTTGAATGATCAAGGGAACATCACTCCTTTTTGTCTTGACATAAAACGCCTTCAAAAGGTCGAAAAGAAATGTTCAGATACTACACGTGATCTTAGCCGCACTTTGGCCAGTGCACTGGTATTGCCAGCCAAGAAAAATCGCACTTAAGTCGGAAAGCTGAAGATTGTCTGGATGGCTATCCCCTACCGTCCCCATGTCTCAGACTCTTTGCTCGGTCTCCGGCCCTTTCGGTAGCCGGAAGACCAACTACCTCGGCCGTTGTAGCCTTTGCCGCGACCACGACCATAGCCCTGCCAGCCGGCAGTGTGGATGGTGGTGTAGATGGTGGAAACAATAAGGGGTCAAAACTGAATACCACAAAGTGAAGAGTTCCACTTTACAGTCCCACGCTGCTCCTTGGAGGTTGGTCGCTTGACGATGGTTCGCCAGACACCACGGTTCTGGGCAGCAAAAAAGACTTGGTACCCAGGTACCAATGAACCCACAAAAGGCTTGTCATTAGGATCAAAAACCATTTGGTTATGGCTCAAAATCCTAGGACCTTAGGTAGCCCAAAATAGTTGGTCGGTTAATGGATGTTTTTTCCTCAAGATATGGTAATAATTGGTTTTGACCCATTCCCATATATGTTTGGTGGTCAATAATTTAAACCGCAACCAGGAGTAAACAATTTTATTCATAGTGAAGAATGTTGGCGAACTCATGTATTTTTTGGCGGATGGTTGTCTTCAATTCAATCCCAAAAACCATATGCCATGATCCCTGCACCCAATGGTGCCAAAAAAAACATGATACCACCTTGCTCTTCCCACCGTTCCATGGCCCTTTGAACAATGATGCCCCCAGTCCTGCTTACCCTTTCCTTTGCCTTTGCGTCCGTTCCATGTTGAGCCTTGAAATGGGGAATATAGTCTACAAAGTTGTTTGTCCGGGTAGGCATCAAAGAGTTTTGATATCAGAACAGTACAAAAACAGAGATGCCGATGAGGAGGAAGCAAAGGAAGAACAGGCGGAACACGATCACTATGTTGAATTTGCGCGATATGATGGTCAAGAAAACAATAAATTTACTCATGAGGGCAATTGTAACAGTATGCACCATCGAACGATTTGTCGCAAAGCAGAAGGAATGGATCATAATTCCAATGATAAGCCGTGAAAACATGTTGGTTCCAAATTTTGAAACAATGAATCGAACAAAATCACAGAATCCAAAAATTCAAATACGACATCTGCAAAATCCAACAAAAATATGACATAAATCCATGCAAAAAAAACATACGACATCTGCAAAAACCAACATCAAATATTAAATAAATCATAAATCGATGAAAAAATATGGGGAGTCAAGGACGCAACATTTTCGAATTGAATTGATCATCAAACAAATCGGTTTGATGGCCATAGATCCGAGAACGATGCCCCATTCAAGTTCTCGTCGGCCGTACCCGCGTCCTTTGGATTTCCTGCGGGCAAAACCAGTACAGTACCTTGTTTACTGTACATGAAAATATTGAACCACATGAGTCGAGGCCAACTCTTGCATGTTGTTTTTGTTCTCAAACCATGTGTGTTTTGCATCACTACAAAATACAAGGCGGGTCCACCCGCCGTACCCCATCGCCGTAGCCACACCGACGACCGGACTATAGGTCCAATGACTGGGGAGCCGAGAAAGCGCCCAAAAAAAAAAATGATCATGATGATGCAAAACCATGTGCAAAATGTGTGTTAAAGTTAACATCAACCAAATCGCACGATTTTTCCGGCGAAAAAAATAAAATACACGAATTCACAAGTGATTGCTATAAATAGAATGGTTTGCATGATTCGCCGGATCAAACAATGCAAAATCACCTTTTGCAAGACCACAAAAAGGAATCGCAATGAAACCGTTGGAAACCAATTCGAATCAGGTGAATTTAAAAACGTACATCGGCATTGAAAAAATTGGCAGCAGGTTCATGCATCTACGCAACCATGAAGTTAAAAATGTATGGCAATTTCCTCCGGTTGAAAATGTGCATATTTTTTCATGATATATTGCTGGTTCAATCCTGGCACAAGGCACGGTAAAAGGTATTCACTGGGTATATGGTCATTGTTGTTGTTTGTGGATCAACATTTTCCATCCAAATTGGGTTCGGAAGTATATATATATATAAAGAATGAATGAACCGCCTTTTTTCTGCTCCGCTTTGCTAAAATTTGTGGGCACCCTCCTATGGGCTGGCCAGACCCTAACACCCTAGGCCCACAGGGGCCCTGAATCACCTTTTGTGATTTTTAGCCTTTCTAGGCTTTTGTTTTCTGTTTTTTGTTCCCTTTGGCCCCTTTTCGGCTTGGCTCAACGGGGAAAAGAAGGAAAAAGGGAGGGGCCGGGAACTTGAACCAAAGCCTAAGGAACATGCATAAGACGTTTAATTCTTTACCCCCGGGGTCGGGTAAGGAAAGAGTGAACCGCCTTTTTTCTGTTCCGCTTCACAGTCTTCACAGCAAAGAGGTCGAAGAAATATGAAACAGATGGTACATTTGGAGTAGAAATTCAGATCCCCCGCCGGGTACAATCCTACCACTGTACTCCAGGGCCTCAAGGACCTACACTAAAATTTTTGGGTACCCTCCTAGGGGTTGGCCAGACCCTGACACCCTAGACCCACAGGGCCCCTGAATCACCTTTTGTGATTTTTAGCCTTTCTGCTATGTTTTTTGTTCCTTTTGGCCCCTTTTCCACGTCCCCCTGATCTGCCTTTAGGCGGCTCAAGGATTGGGTGTGAGCGTGGATCAGAACGCTTAAAAGTAAGGTGAAACGGTGCAAGCCGGACTTTGTGGGCCAAAGTTGCGAGGCCTTCATTCAAATATATGCGAGCAGTTCGAGCTGCTTGCCATCGACCCATGCACGACTCGATCGAGACTTCCAAACTTGGAGACGTACCATGTAGCACCCCCTCGACGGAGGGAATATGGCCTGAATTCAAAAGTTTGTAACTGAAGATCCCGAGTACCATCAGCAAAAAGGGTGCGCCAGCGGGCGGCTGAGCAGCAAAAACCTTGCCCCTCGTGACTGATATGCAGCCATTGGCGCAGAAAACGAACAGCTACTTCATGGGTGAGGGTGACGCTATCGCTCACGCCCATGCGCTTGCCGCCCTTCATAAACCCCAGGGTAAGAACAGCTACCCCGCTCTGAACGGAAAACGAAATGTGTTGCTTTCGCAGGTTTAAAAGTTCCCCTGTGGTTTTTGCGAGCAAGCTGACGGCAAAATTAAACTGCTGACGCCTGTTCTCAGGGGACAGAAACTGAAGAGCTGACGCTCAAACAAAAGAGAAAAGAGAACAGGGAAACGGGAGCCCGCCAGGATGAAAGGGACACAAGAACAAAGTCGCTGAAATAAAACCGACGCGTCCTACGCAACAACAGCATCAACCAAACAAACAGCTAAAACTAAAAACGCCAAATCAAACTCAACCCTGACATCTGCAAACATGAAATGACATCACTGCAATGAAATGTTGACATCTGAAATCGGAATCGCATGTTTTCTGCTGGCGGTTGTCGCTATCACGAGTGGAGTCTGATGCTCCGCCCCAATCATCTCTGTCAAGTTGTCCCCAAAGCTTCGTCTGGGTAAGACATGATAAGGCAGCGAGATGCTGTGTCACCCCGCCATCAAAAAGGTGATCCGGACCTGTTGGCCAGCATTGGTCCGTGTCCAAGAAGTGGGACCAAATTGGGATCTTGCGCACATACCCAGTGGCGCAACCTGTCCAAGATCTCGGCCTGTCGCTCCAGTTTGGACTCAAGGCCCTGTATCTGCAGCTGCATTGCCTCGCAGTGGCGTGAGACGGTGTCCACGAAATCTGTCAATGGCAGGTATGCCACCACCACCACCGTCTCCTCACGACGGGTCTGTGGCACTGCGGCACTGCAAAGGTTATCATAGTTGGAAGGCAGCAGGCCAAGTAGACACTGCGACCCAAGAATTTCAAGAACCTTAGTTGCTGCGATATCTTCGATCCAGCACACGCTCTCCGACACAGCCCAAGTGGGTCAAGATCGCAGCATCAACCTATTCATTCCGGCCTGTTGGCCAACCTAGCACTCTCTGCAAAAGATCATGCGGGGGCGACGTTCGGGTCGCAGCAAAGGCTGGGCAGTCCCAGGCCAAGTGATCCCATGTTGGCACATTGCCAGACGCACACCACGTGCAAGGAGCTGGTGCGGTGTTGGGGTCTCGAATGGGAAATATTGCAAAGGCAACAGGCCAAATATGCAGACCGGAGTCTGCACTAAGACGCTGCCACCAAAAAGAAGCCCTTAGGCAATTCCTCTGTATCGTTTGTCAAGAAGCTTTTGGCGCACTTTCCCCAAATGGGCAAGCACTGCTTGATCTGTTCCTGGATTGCGGCCCATTGGCCAGCCTAAAATTCTCTGAAATGTATCATTGGGACGGCGGGGCCTGCTGGCCGAGAATGCCGGGCAGTACCAAGCAGCATGGTCCCAGCATGGAATTGCACTTGGATGCTGGCACCAAGAACAAGGCTGGATGAGTCTGTGATACATCCGATCCAATCGCGCATCGGAAACCACTGCCCCCATCATGACTGCCTTAGCGTGTGTATCAAATTCTCGAAACAACTGCCTCGCAGCAGCAACTCTAGATTCTGCATCAGGAGGTGTACCAATTGCCTGCGCATCTCTGCGTGAGCTACCCAAAAAGTTGGCAAACAGGATGCGTCTCCAAGATTCTCTCAGCATATGTTTTTCTACATCAAGTTCTGCTGTAGACACACGGCCCGACCAGCGGATGATGCCACGGGCGCCAAGTGCATGGCAGCGCCAATGAAATGGACCTTCCTCGATCCAACCCAGGTCTTCCAGCCAGCCTCGGACAGTGCCAAGCCATGTGCCTCTGGTGGGGCTGCGAGGCCATTGGCGAGCACGTTTCCGTACCTCAGCAGCCAAATACAGATATACTTGCATGCCAGCAACAAACTCAGCATTCAGGCCGTGCCCGGCCAAAATGTAAAACAAGTCAGTGGATGCTTGAGGATGTTCACTACCTGCTGTTCTTTTGACTATGCTAGTTAGACAACGCACTTGGCTCAAGTTGGTCCAACAGCCCCAAGCAGCTTTAGGGATGGCGATGGACGCCACATGTTGGCTTTGAGATGCATTCCAACTGGCAGTAGTGCAATCCGTTGCAGTCGAGACTTGGTCACTCTCAAGCGTTCTTCTGAAGTTTTTCGGTCCGAAGCACCGAGGCGGGTTGTGAAATCAATGCTCAAAACCCTGGCTGCATTTGTGACATGATGCTGTGCAAAGCCTTGTGCCACAAGCTGAGCTTCATATGCAGCCCTCCGGGGGACTACACGTGCTTTGCTGTCATTTTCCCACAATCCCAAACGCGATGACACCTCTTGCCAGGTTTGCCATAAGCGAAATGCTTGCTGGGGATCTCTTGCAATCATGTTTCGATCATCAAGGAATGTGGCTAAACTGAAAAGCTGGGGCTCACGGCAGAGCACAATCTTGGTAATTCCTGTCATCAAAGCAAGTAAAGTCAGGGGACTGGTGGCATCCCCTTGTGGGAGTGATGTACGCACCTCTATAGGCCCCGGCATGTACTCACCATTGTAAGTAAGCCACCGTGACTGCTGCCATACAAATTTCAACATTTGAAGCATGGGAGAAGGACAACCGAAATGCCGAAGACAAAGAATACCTAGCTCTGGATCCACTGTGTCAAAACATTTTTGAAAATCTAAGCTCAGCAAAACCCCTCCTTTTTCAAATTTTTGAAACAACATGTCCACTGCTCTGGCGACTCCTTTCCCGTGATACCACCACAGGCTGTTGGATGGACCCAAGAAAGTATCCATCTGCGAGTTGCGGCTCCCCTGGTCCAAGCAGAACTAACTATTCGCCAAATAGTGCACTGGATGGATATCGGTCGCAAATCCTTCGCAGATATGGCCTGATCTTGTGTGCGTAATTTTGTACCTGTCTGGTATGTTGCCAAACACTTGGAAAATCTTGGCGTGCAAGCGCAATCCATCTGGTCAGCAGTTCGGCCAAGATTTCCCAGGCACGGAGCGGCAATTGTGCCGCTTCGATACCGGTTATCCCATCTGCTCCACCGGCTGAGCCCTTCATTCTGATTGCTTGTCTGTGAAGTTCCTTAGGTGTGAGGTTTGACCAGGCATATTCCGGCATGGGCTCACTGCCTTCCTGCCAAAACTGAAAAGCTTCCTGCACGGGTGGCCTGTCTCTTTCCCAGATAGTCTTCCAAAACTGCGAAATAGCTTCAAGAGATTGCTGATTCGAAGATCCTGCCTGTATTGAAGATTAAAAGTTAAGGCTTTATGATCAGAAAAGACAGCTTCGGAAAAGGCAAGTTCATCCACCATGAAAGGGTGTGAGGACCAAATCCAGTCAATGCATCTGTTACCTTCCCACCTCGTGGATGCTCTGGTCCCATCAGGGAGGGAAACGACTTTGGCTGCTCCACCATCGGCGAGGGCCGTCCACCGGTCTGCAAGTTCCGGCTCTTGGTTGAAATCTCCTAAAATGACAACTGGCTCTAAGGCTCCCGCCGATGCAATCCATTCATCCAGCACTGTCAGTGTTTGCGTTGCTTGGGGGTTGCGGGGCGGCAAGTATGCACCAATGATAAACATGTGATCCAATTGAAGCATAATGGCTTGTCCGTCATAGGCAACATGTCTGCTCACTTCTCTAGCACCCTTGTCTTTACGCACAAAGATGGCCACTCCACCAGATGTGTAGGCATGCCCTAAGACGCTGTGTGATGCCGGAGGTGCAACAAACCAGCTTCTGTAGCCTTTAGCCTGCATGAATCTAGAAAGATCTGCCTGCTTGTCTGGCAGCAGACAATGTTCCTGGAGTATGGCAATGGCGGGTTTTTCCTTACAAATCCACCTGGCACAGGCCCATGAATTTTCAGGGCCATTGACGTTGATCGTGATGCCATGCATGTGACGACAACTTGACGGACCAGGGTTCGGCTCAACATCACCATCTTCTGTGTGGTCCCGCTGCCAGACTTGCGCTGGCAGCGGGGGCAACTTCTTGTCTGTGCCAGCCTTTTCAAGCACATTTATTTCTTGGTGGCTGAGTTTCCAATGTCTGGTTAGGAGCTTGACTGCCTTTTGATCTTCTTTTGTCTACATCGCAACCAAAGATTTTGTCTCGAGCCACGTGCCATGTGAACGGATCTGGCAGCGTGTCCACCACACTCATGTTGGAGCAAATAACTAAGTTTCTGGAAAACAAGAGTACATGTCCCACAGCTGAAATTAATGCAATCAGAAAGAAAACCATGCGGGATACGGAAAGCCCCCGCCTGAGTGGATTGGTTGTAACTTTCAATCAAGCTGTCGTTGCGTTTGATCTTTTTCTCTGCATTTGATTTGACAAGCTGTGCATGGATTCCTCGCCAGATAGGACTGTTGTAGTGAAGCTTTTTGAGTTTAGCTTTGGTGATACCATAGCACCGTATGACATGAGCATCGCGGCTAATTTTGAGTTGGTGGCGCGGCATGTACGCCAACCCCTCCCCGCATTTGTTACATGTCCAAGCTCGCTGACTTTCTGGAATGCTTCCGCTCGCATTTGCGATTTGAGTAATTGGGCGTGGGAAACAAGCATGAACAGCTTTGGCTTTCTTGGGGTGTTCCTTTTTGATATGCCTAAGTCGTGCACAGGCAAGTGACTTCTTGTTATGGTATCTGAAAACTTGCTGACACAAATTGCATGTCCAAACAAATTGCTCGGAAACGTGGGTAGCTCGGGTACCCTTCTTTTTGTTCTGTTTCCTGTTGCCGGTGCCCACAGGCTGCACACTGCGGACTGCGCTGCTGACTGTCTTACTTTTTGGTTTATTGACTGTCATGGCTGTCTTAGTGCAAGACTTGATGTTTCGTGTCAATGTGCTTCGGTGGCTGTTGGGATAACATGCTGGAAGTTTTTTCTGGAGCTTTCAGGTGTACAGGCTGGTCTCCAGGAAGCGCCGTGTGACTTGACGGATCCATTTCTCTTGATTGTTTTGGTCTTGGATTCAGGCGTGTGCGCAGGTCGCCAGGAGTGGGCCGCACTAGCACAACTTCTGGCAGGAGCTGGTGACTTCCCGCCGCCTCGTAGGGCGACGCTGGCAACAGAGGCTTGAGCCGCTTGAGTCCATTCTTTGGGCCATTGCCGGCCGGCTTTGAGCTGTAACAGGGTGTAATGGCCTTGCCGATCATTGAGTAGCAATACGATGGGCTCTCTCCCTGACCGGGGCGTTCCAAAAGCCATGGGTTTGTCTTTCTCTTCTCCTGCCAAGGGAATGACAATGATGTGCACACCATAGCGTTTGCTTGCCGCCCTCAAACTGAGACCGTCGATCCACCGTCCTTCCCTGAGCGTGCATTCCAAGTATTCTTCCCATGTGGTGGGGGAAGGGCCTTATTCAGCAGCATACTTATCCAAATGTTTAAATAAGTCATGTCTGATTGTTGTGGCACGTGCTGGCAGATCGCCCTTCACCTGTTCGATCGATTCTCCCTTGTCGAGAGCCAGCGCAGCTGCCAGGCAAGTGTAGCCGCAATTACCGCCGCCGCCGGTATCGAGCGATGTCCCTTTGTGCATGAAAGGGCCAAAGGGGCCCGCTTCTTTGGATTTTTCTTCTCTTTCTCTTTGGGTTTATCCTTGGCGGCATCCTTGTTGTGAGAGCGGCTGCGTTCTCTGGCCGGCTCCTGCCTTTGTTTTTTCTGCCTCAGGTTTAGTCACCTGTGCATTGAGCTTGATATGCCGACCGGATGACAGACACCACTTCCGGAGCGGCGTTTCTTGTTCTGGACAAGTTGATATACAGAACCCGCGTGCCTGCGTGGATTGCAACCACACCCAGGCTATTCTCATCTGGCACGACTGCTTTGATAAACCAAGACCTGTGACGTCCTGGGAAGATTTATGATAGTAGCCTCTTGACAGCCTGCATCGAACAAGCATTGGGGACGAAGTGTGAAAAACGTAAACCCAAGTACACCTCTCGTGTACCCAAATCAACGCTTTCGTTATCCCACTACGCCAGACGCAAACACCTACTGTGGTTGCGGCCCCGCAGTTACTTACTTCTCTGCAATGTCAAAATAAAGGAACTTGTTCCACCCTGACTCCTAAGTGCACGTCAGACTCCTTCTTTTCTCTCCAGACGCCACACACAACGGAACAGGTCAACAGGAACCAAGGCAGGCACACGGCCACAAACCAAAAGGAGTTCCAGTGTGGCTACTGTTTCAAATGCCCTAGGTGACACTGCAGTTCAGTTCGCTTCGGAACACTTGACACCACTCCCTTGAGCCGATGTCTCGACTGGAAACTCGATTCCAGGTTTCCAATACACAACCTTCCCTCAAAGGTTGTTGAAACAATTCCAAACTGCTATGATATACAGATCACCTAGTCACAAAACGTCAGAAACATTTCCAAAAGTTCTCAAGTCAAACTGGTTCTCGTCCAAACGCAAATAACCAGCTAGCCGGTGTTACTAGTCTCTACCAAACGTCTAGACTAGTTACACGGCTATTCAAGAACGAAATGATCCATTCAAATTCCTTTACAAAATTCTCTTGCAATACAGAACAACATGGGAACCTCATGTTCCATCTCCAAAACAGTTCTTCACACAGAGATGTCTTCTCATAGCTCCAAACCACCGTGGAGAGCAGAATGTTCTGCTCGACTTCTCAGCTAATATCCAGTCATCAGCAGTCATAGCGCTAAAGTAGTTCGCTTACTGCAATAACCAAACGTCAGCAATAAGTCACAAATACAAAGGTCACAAAGTAGACTTCCAGATCAAATACCCAGAGGTCGAATACTATACGTAGGCATTGTCCTCACAATTCCGGAGTATCTCACATACTCGCAAGAGGTAATCAAAAGGCTTCACAAACATCTCAGATGTACGAAGCAACGTCAAGAATCGAAACGGATGTTCCAAAACCATCTCCGTCAGATTCACACTCCCATGAGGAGTCAAGGAACCTCCGAGATCGATGAAACCATATCATCCCGACTCAACTGTATAGCGAATGCTTCTGAAAGCATTCGCCCACTGTCACAAAGCTAAATAAAGCTTCAAACTGTATTCAAAGTAGCTTGAGCTCCGTGTAGATTCACTCAGACCCACAGGTCGATATCTCAAATCATCTCTTGCAGCTCCGTGTACCACAAAGGAATATCGAAACTACTTAAGTCTGTTGTAGACACCTTCCCATAGTCCAGCTTCACTACTGAAGACTCAATGAATGCTTGTCGCACCAATGCCAAGTTGCAACCCCATAAGGGTGACAAACTTCCACACCCCCTTTCGACATGACATTCATCTCTCTCTTTACATACATACTAAAACTCACATCCAGTATGAACTTCGACATACCTTCAATGTCAGAGGTGTAGAAGACGTTGTATTCGCCAATAGACTTCGATATTCCATCTTTTCAGCACATCTTCGAAATAATGTTGAAGACTTTGTTGAGGTGCTTGTAGATGTTCTTCATCCACTAGCGTAAATGAAGTCTAAACTCTTCTGAAACACACGAAGTTTCCAAAAAATATACCTGTCTCTGAGAAATCAACTGATTCTCAAAAATATCTTCCAGCTTGAAGTCGTTCAAGATTGAAAGTAGAATAGAATCGCTCCAACTCTGGATGATTCTCAAACAAAAAACGGTTGTCCCTCCAACGCTTCGTTCATCATAAATAAACAGTCTATTCATATCCATAACCATCGCCAACGCTGATTTCAGCAATACTCCATAGACGTCTCCATGGGCAAAGCTCCCATCTATCCTCAACCCGTCAACATCACCAGCTCAGAATCCATCAACCGTCCCAAGGTGTCTCTTCGGAACGATTTCTTTCTTCCAATACCAGATCATCAACTGATCGAAGAGACCATGGCGTCAATTCACGATCAACTACAGTGCTGTTTGTTGTTCCCTAGAACAAACGAAAAAACACCAACAACACACACGAGATCCAAGACGAAGACAGACGAAGCACTGTCGGAGTCAACACAAAAACAAAGGCCGACTGTTTCAGCTAATCCACGTCTTCCAATGGAAGATAGGCGTGTCAGACAAGCGAAACTGTCAGTCTAAAAATACTCAGATAAAATCCACATTCGTGGAAATAAAATTAAGTTCAAGACATTGTTGCACCACGCAGACTCAGCTTCGGACAAGCTAAGTATTAGGCGCGCTAAGCTCAGGACATATTTCCAAAGACAGACCTTGCCCCCTTTTGAGGTAAAATCCATCAATCCTCAAACATCACTAAAGAAATGAATTCTGGTCAGCATAAAAGCTGATCTATCGCATAGTGAAAAACTACCAAAACAAACTTACAACCATTTTTAGAAACGTCAAGAGTACAATTCCAACAATATTGACATGTACCTTAAGTCAGGGATGTCCAATCCACTGACATCCATGGGCAAAAAAACTATAAAACACTTTGACCAAACAAAAGATTTGAGCTCGTTCCTCTAGGAGTCTCACCATCTCTCGAAGATGCCTTCCAATGCTATCAAAGCCAAGACTGAGGTTGGTCTCCAACTTCTTTGTTTGCTTCTCCACTTCACTTTTGACTCCCTGTATGTTGGCTTCCACTGACTGGTTGCCAGTTAGAGCCCAACGACCAATGGCAGCCCACCGGTCGAAAGCTTTGAGAAGCTTGGTCGTTTCTCCGGCCTGAAACGACACTCCTGATGTCATTGTTGTTATGCAGGTCGCTTGATTCTGGATCTGGACACTCAATTCTTCAAATCCTTTCTTCATTTCCACTCTTC